TTCTGGAAAATCCATTTGCTCTCCCGATGCGGATATATTCGTGGAGTAGGTGAAATTCAAGAGAACGTAAAGCGTTTTGTTTCGCCTGATAAGGCTCGGGTTTAATTAATTGCCATGAATTTGCTTGGTATTTATAAAATATCACTATATAAGGGCTACCGTTTAGCTGTAACTTGGGTGATCCATCTCCTCGCCCTTGTAATTACTACACTTATCTCTCTAGAACAGTCATTTCTACTCCAGGTTTATAGAACAGGTAATGGATAATAAAGGCCATTTGTTTTCGGGGGATTAAAACAAGCAGGTATAATTTCACGGCAATAAAAAAAAAAAAAATAAAAAAAAATCCAACACCCACCTCCCAACTTTCCCCCGTAATTTTCCCTCCTCCATCACGGCGTTTAACTTTCAATTTAGGGGCGCGTTCATTTGAAGTGGGTTCGTTTGGAGAGAGGGGAGGAAGGAGGGAGGGAGGGAGGGAGGGAAGGGAGGGGAGAGGGAGGAAATGAAAGGTATCATTTTCAAGGGTATTTCTGATTTATCTCCCCGGCTCGGCCCGGGGGGGTCTCTGAGTCCGGGGCAGGCGCTGCGAACGCGTTTCAGGCTGTGCTTCTTTCTGTTATTCCTTTTTTTTTTTTCCCAACCGAACAATCTATTGAACACACTTTTTAACCCCGAGTTCCTCCCCAAATAACCTCTTTATGGCGGTGTTGGAGCTGGCGGTGTGAGCGCGGAATTCCCGCGGGGATGTTCCACTCCCTGGGCACCCCGACCCTGCCGGGGCTCCTCGGAGCTGCTCCCCGAGCTCAGAGGGAAATATTCCATTTTTGATCGTTATTATAAATTAAAAGGACGCACGAGGCTGACTGGGAAACCACGTAAGACTTAAATCTCGGTTTCCCTGTTGCAAAACAGGTGTGGTCTGATTTCCACCTTCCCTCCCCGCATTTATCACATCCCAAAACGCCGTCAAGGCGCCGGTTGCTCTTTTATTAAAAGTTCTGCCCTAAGGAAACACCTCAGACCTCCCGCGCTCCCCGTTCGCTTGGCCGGGGGGAAATCCCAGTTTAATTCCCCCAAACCCGAAAGGTTTCGTGCTCCCGAAAGGGAAAGGGGGGGAAGGAAAAAAAAAGAAAACACAGCTAAATTAAAAAAATAAATCTCCATCCTCGTTGCTGCCAGATTGGAGAGGGATAGCTCCGGGGTGAGAGGGGGGAATATACCCGGGGGGTGAGGGGGGGGGAAAAAAAGAGAAAAGAGCCCTAAAAGTTGCGGAGCGGCGCGGAGGGAGCGCGGCGCGGGGTGAACCGCGGGTCAGAGCGGCTCTCGGCGGCCGCCGCGCTGCGGACACGCCTCGCTGTTTAACAAAGACTGACAAACTATGAGATTAATACCAAAACTTGCGGGTTTCCCACCCCAAAATGCTTCAGAGGGCCTCCTGGCGCTGCCAGGAGCAGTTCCGCTCGCCTCGGAGGACAATAGTTGGGTTCTGGTGGGGCGGCGAGGGGAGGGGGCGCCGGCGGAGCCCACCAAAACAGAGAAACGACAACAGGAAAATAGGAGAAGAAGAAGGAGGGAGAAATTAGTGTTCTTATGGAGAATTAATGCCACTGAAAAGGCAACACGGAGAGAGAGAGAGAGCAGGACAAGCCGGGCTGGAGCGGGGAGGGGGCGGCAGGGGGGGCTTGGGGGGTTCCTGTAGGATTCCGCCTGCAAAACCTTCCCAAGTTTTGAGGGAGCGCCCTGAACCCCCCCGGGGATCGCTCCGAGGAGAGGAGCCGCGCTTTGCCAAGGTAGGTACCCCCGGGGGTCACACCTGGGCCGGGGGGAGGGCACCCCCCGCCTTGTGCCCCTTCTTTTGGGGTGACCTCGGGGCCTCTGAGGGCAGGAGCGGGGGGTTCCCCCCTGCCCCGGCAGGTGCCTCGGCAGGGATTTTGGGCAGGGCTGGGGGGGCTCCGCAGGGCAGAACAGGCCGGGGGGTCCAGGGGAACCCCCCCCCGCCATCCCCCCCCGGCCGAGGCCGCTTTGAACCGGAGAAGAGCCGGGGGGGGGAAACTCTCCGGGAGAAACTTGCGCGGGTTCCCAGCGAGAAAGGTGCGCGGAGCGGGGGGGGGCGCGGAGGGGCCGCCTTTAATTCGGGATCTGAGGCGGCCGAGGGGGAGATTTCTTGGAGGTGCGCGGGGGGGAAAGAATTGTGGTAGACGCTAGGGGTGCTGGTTCGCAAGCGCCGGCCCCGTGTCAGCGGGAAGGGAAATTAAAACCCATTTTTTTTTTTTTAAAGGGATGTGGGAGGGGGGTAAAAAGGCAGAATAGGCCTAGTTATTTCTGCTCAGGCTCGTCTCCTCGGGTAGGAGATAGTTACGGTGCCGGCTGCGAGAAAATACAATAAAATAAACCAGCGAGGGGATTGGAAAGGAGGAATAAAATCCAAGAGGAGAGGAAAAAAAATAAATAAAAGGAGCTCTAATGGGATTGGTTCTGTAGCGTTATTTTATGGCATCCCTCTCCACGTTGTACAAGCAGATTAGATTTGGCTTCTCACTTTTATGGCGGGTTTTAGAGGGGAAGGTAAATTTGAGGGTTGCTGTCGGCTCCCCGGCACGGCGGAGGAGCAGCTTTGGGAGGTGGGAAACTCCTCTCCGAGCAAAAAGAGTCTTCGCTTCGCTGCTCCGGCTGGAAATTCGGGGGTTATTTACGCGCATAAAATGATTTTGGGGTTGTCCGCGTTGCGTTTGGTCGTGTTTCTTAAAGCACCACTTAGGTTTTCCTGTTTCTGTGGGAATTACGCATTTTAGCAGCAAATCCGACTGTTCACCTTAAAGTACCTGAAAAATTTCGCGTCATCCCGAGCGGGGAGAGCGGCGGGGGTTTCAGTCTTGGCCATAACTGTCTTTTGTTGGGGAAAATGGAGGAGTTCGTGGAACCCATCGAAGATATTCGCAGGAATTTTGGAGCAGGGGAAAGGCAGGTTTTCTCTGATATAGTCTCTCCGCTGCGGCATTTAAATGCAGTTAATTCGGGAGATGCTTTGACCAAAAAAATGTTCTGCCTTTTGAAATACAAAGGGAAGGGAAAAAAAAAAAAAAAAGGAAGAGAAAAGGGGGGTGCTGTACTTTTAATCTCTTGGGCAACTGTAATTTTAAACGAAATCTCAACATGATGCTACCCTCATTAGTTCCGAATGAAGGTTCATTACCTAGACAGTATGAATATTTTATTGCTTTATATCCCTTTTTCGGAAATGAAACGCCTTTGATCTTTTTCTCGGGTTGTAAAAAGAATTGCCTGTCATTAAAAAAAAAACCTGTCGTCCCATCTGCCTTTACATTCTGTATTTCTTTTCATCTGTTTATTTCCTTTTTTTTTTTTTTCCCCCCCCCTTTTTTTTTTTTTTAAATACGATTTATCTGCACTCGCACCCAGAAACCCAAACCTTGGTTGACCTCTAAGAACGAAAAATGGATTAAATCTTTGTGCTGCGCATCAGAAAATAATTGCGAGGGTTTCAGGGTGAGGTGGGGACAGAGCTGTGACATTTTACTTTTAAAAGGCCGTCATTTGGATTCGAGTCTCGTTGTGCGTCTACACTCAAATATTCAGTCCAGAAGCTGATTTTTTTAGATCAGCGATAAATTAACGTACAAGATACGGAGGAGAGGGTGGAAAACTCCCAGTTTTTCTCTCCTGGTATCGGCTATTCGCGTGCTGAGTGGGTGCTTTAATTAATCGCCTTTCCTCTCAAGAGTGAATATTTTAACCGGCTTCACCTATAGATTAATTCTCGATCTCTCGAGCCACAAAACTTTCCCCCCTCCCTGCCCCAGAAGAGAATTATGGCGGTAGGAGAAGATCTCTGACCGAGGAGGACGCATCTGTCTTCTATATGTACCCTGTAGATCCGAATTTGTGTAAAGGAAGTTGGGTCACAAATTCGTATCTAGGGGAATATGTAGTTGACACAAACACTACAGGTCACAAACCCAGAAGGAATTATCCCCCCCTTCCTCCCCCCCCCAAAAAAAAAACCACCCACATCCCCAGAACCCGAAATATGGGGGGTGAAAACGAGGTCTTAACCAGAAAACCGATTTATAGCTAAAAAGAAATACTTTGGATTTGACCTTAGCTCAACTCCGGCGCTCCCGCGATAAACTTTATCATCGCTTGGAGATAAAATCTGAGCGGCGGAGGGGATGGGGGAGGGGGGGGGAGGATGAGCGCGGGCGTTATTGCTGCGATTTGAGAGCCGGGATCCCACCATCGCTTTAATTTGTGTCATCTCAGCACCGACACCGAGAAACAAATATATATATATATATATTATGGCTTTCTTCGCTGCCGCCTGTGAGGAGCTCATCGCGCGTTTCGGGTCTAAAGGCGAATTTGAGGAATTAGGGGTGGCTTTTGAAAGGCTGCTGGTTCGCTCCGGCTTTTAAAGCGTCTTTATTACGAGAAGGGCGAGGCGAAGATGCATTAGGACTTGGGCTAATTCGCTTTTGTAATTGTTCATCAAGTCCTTGATTTCTCGCTCGGAGGACGGGCTCCTTTTTTCCATCGGTGCGTGGGAAAACAGTCAATCTCGGAGCCCGGCTAAATGTGATTTAGGAGCCCGGGTACCCCGAATTAGCTGATGAATTTCTTATCGATCCCAAAGCAGCCCTATTCATCTCTGCCAGGCTCGGGGCGCAATGGCCCTTCCCGTATCACCTTAGCGGGGAATGAGATGCAGCCCCCGCCCGGGGGGGGCCTCCATGGATCATGTGCCGGGGCAGCGCTCGGGAGCGGCCCCAACCCCCCCGAAAAATCATTTTTGCCTTATATTCTAATTATCTTTTTTTTTTTTTTTTTTTTTTGGCGGGGGGGGGGAAGGGAAAAGGATTTTTATTTTCCCACCCTCCCCTTCCCTTCGGGTCCCCGAGCCAGGACACACCCCCGAGGGGTGTGGGCCCAAGGGGGGGTGTCGGGGCTCGCCCACGGGGCGCTGCCGGAGCCCGGGGCCGGCGGGGCCGGGGGAGGCCGGAGGGGAGCGGGAGCCCCCGGGCCGCCTCCCCGGGGATGCTGGGGGGCCCCGGGAGAGCCCGGGCTGGGCAGGTTTCCTTATCCGGGGCTCGCCGTGCCCCTCGCCATTGGCCCGCGCTGTCACATGGACTCAACTTTGTTCACTTGACAGTAAGTAGGAGGGTTCCACGAAACAGGAAAACGAGGAAAGGGGGGGGACAGGAATAAATTTTAGGAGAGAGAGAGATATATATTTTTTTTTCGTGTGTGCAATTCTAAGAAATTAATGGCCATGAGCTCGTTTTTGATCAACTCCAACTATGTGGACCCCAAGTTCCCACCCTGTGAAGAGTATTCCCACAGCGATTACCTTCCCAATCACTCGCCGGAATATTACAGCAGCCAGAGGCGAGAGAGCACTTTCCAACATGAAGCGATGTACCAGCCGCGGTCAGCCTGCAAGGAGCAGCTCTACTCGTCCTGTCAGAGCTCCGGCCACCCAGCAGCGGTGTTATCCCCCCGGGGTCATGTCCATCCTCCGGCCGGATTGCAGAGCCACCTCTCGGAGCCAAACCAGCCCTGCGAGCCGGTCACCCCCAGCCCGCCACCCTCCTGCAGCCAAAACTCTCTGAACCAAAGCCCTTCCAATTCCTCTTGCAAAGAGCCGGTAGTTTACCCCTGGATGAAAAAAGTCCATGTAAGCACGGGTAAGTGAACTAAAGTGGCTTTGCTTTATAGTAAGTAGCACCTCAAAGTCTTGTAGAAATCTTATTGCACCAGTTGTAAAATAACCATTCGCGGAGATTTACGATCGCCTGTTTGCAGAGCGGTATAATTACATCCTCCATAAATTTTTATTGCTCTGCTTGGCCATGTGCCTTTGAAGTCTCTGTTACCATCCTCCTCCAATTTCTTGCAGGCTACTTTTTTTTATGGCTGTTGAATCTTCATAAGTTAAGTTTTATGTTTTTGTAATTTGTATTTAAGTGGCGGGTTGAGTAAACTTTTACTATTTTCCTTTCCCCTCCCCTCCTCTTTTTTTTTTTTTTTTTTTTTAGGGTGATATTTAATAAATAGGAGTGTCTGTGTTCGCCTGTTTGCACGCGTGTAGGGGCAACTTTAAAAGATTTGGGGATAACCGAGCGATCTCTGGTAGAGGTGTGTGTATATACGAGTAAATACACACGTAGAGGGCACGGAAAATGTGTCTGGGGGACCTTATAAAAACGTTTAGACAGGAATACACGTCAAGCAACGAGGATGGAGGTGGAGATTTGCAGATAGGTTGTGGGTATATTTTTAGAAGGTTTGCCGTGTATTTTTTTTTTTTAGTATATCCCCCCACCGAAAGAATGTGTGATGCTTTTTTTTTTTTTTTTCTTTTTTTTTTTTTTTTTTTTTTTTTTTGAGGGGGGAAGGACCCTTTAAAGGAACAGCTCGGTAATTCTTCTGCTCTTTTTTTTTTTTCCCCCTTTGCTGTGGTTTTTTTTTTTTTTTTTTTTTTCCCCTCCTTTGTGTTTGTTCAGTAAACCCCAATTACTCAGGAGGGGAACCGAAACGCTCCCGCACAGCCTACACCAGGCAGCAAGTCCTGGAGCTGGAGAAGGAATTTCACTATAACCGTTATCTCACCCGGAGGCGCAGGGTCGAGATCGCCCACTCCCTGTGCCTCTCCGAGCGCCAGATCAAAATCTGGTTCCAGAACAGGAGGATGAAATGGAAAAAAGACCACAAGTTACCAAACACCAAGATCAGGTCCAACCCTTCCAGCTCCTCCTCCGCCAGCCTGCAGATCCCCCAAGGAGGATCTCAGCCCCGATCCCATGGACCAGCCAGCAGCCTATAACCATTCCCGGGATGTCTGGAGTGTGTGTTTGTGGCTGGGAGGCCGTGTGTGCGTAGGGAACACAGGAGAATATTTCTTTTTGTTCGTTTTTGAACGCTCCGAGAAGCGAAGGAAGGAGGGTGCTCTTTATTTATAGGGGGAACAGAGGGAGACTCAGCTGCAACAAAGCAGAGCCGCGCTGCTGTGCCTCTCTTCCATTAAAAGGAGGCTGTAGATAGTAGTTTTCAGATTTGGCTAAGATGGATCCTTGTTTCATCTTTAATCACGCCAAGCTCTGCCCCATTTGTCATGTTTACTCTCCCGTACAAAGGATGGACCTTATGTCTGCTATTACCTCGACAACCCGCGCTCACTTTAATAAATGAGGCTCAGTTTCTTCAAGACGAACTGGATTTTCTACACCCCCTCTTCCCCCTCCCCGACCCCCCCCATCCCTTTCTTTTCTCGCCTCCGAGCCACAAACGGGAAGTTTCTCTGGCCCGGCCACCCCAAAACACCGGGCGGTTCTACCACAGCAACGGAGAGACAAAAAAAAACCCACCCCAAAGCAACGAACCCACCCCAAAGCAACAAATCCACCCCAAAGCAACAAACCCAACCCCAAATCCCCTCCGGGCGTGGGGAGCGCGGAGCTCTCGGACGCGGGAATGGAGCGGGACAAAAAAAAAGAGCGAAACTGGGTCAAGTAGGTGGTGGACAAAGAAAGGAAGAGGATGGAGAGCGATATAAACCCCGCTCCTTTGGGGTTTTTTCCTTTGTTGGTTGTTTTTTGGGGTTTTTTTTTGAGTCCGGCAGGTTTATTGTGAGTCCGGGAAAGGGAGGTGGGAGGGGGGGAAGCGGGGGGTTCAGGTTAGAAACTGGGCCATGAACTGTGGCACCTGGAGTCACCCCCGGGCGAGGGGCAGAGGAGGGGGAAAAGCTCCTCTCCCGCTGCCTCGCCCGGGTTTGGACCGAAAATGTGAATTATGGGGGCGGAGGGGCGAGGGTTTGCCCCTCCCGGGGTGAGCGGGGGCTCGACTCGACCCCCCCCCGGCCGCCTCCATCCCTCCCTTTGTCCCTCGGGGTGTCCGGGATTACCCGTAAATAGCAGAGAAAAGGAACGACAACAACAACACCAACAACAACGACCACGAAAAGCGCGATTGAAAATAAATTTTCTCATTGTTGAATCTGCCCCCGTGTGGTTTTTGGTTTTTCTTTTTTTGGGGTCTGGAGAGGGGGGAGGGGATGCGGGGGGGGGATTTTGTCTTTTTGTTCCGCTGAGGGGAAAAAAAAAAAACCAAAATACATATTTTAAGGCGATTAATTAAACAGCACGTTTCTCTTTTTTACAGGGGTTTCTGTTGTCAGTGGCACAGCCTCGAGTCCCTAATGAAAACAAAAGATGTTTGACTAGGGTATATCAGCTTTAAGTACTGCTAAGCCGTACATATTATGATTTATTTGTTCAAAACCTGTATTAATACGCTCTTCCCAAACCGGGCTCGGACAAAAAAAAAAACCGAGGCGTCATTAGCGCTTCGCTTTGCTGGGAGGAACGGAGGGAGCGTTGCTTTTCTCCAGAGAGCTTTTCTGCAGCTCCAAAAAAAAAAAAAAAAAATAAAAAAACCCCCCTCTCCTTCTCCAAGGTAGTTAATGCATTAATGAGTCTAATTTTTGCCCAGATGTTTCTCGGTGTTTGCAGGTTTTCGGTGTATTTTTATATCACAAAGGAGCTGGCTCCTGCGATAGCTCATGGCCTGACAAGCAAATAGATAATCAAGAAGACAAATGGCTTCTTTTGTGAGCCGCAGCTCTTGTATTAATTTTCATTTTCTTTCTCATAGAAAAGTATCGAAAATGCTGTTCGGGACGGAATAACGTTCCAGTGCTAAGTTAGAAATATATATATATATATATATATAAAGAAAAGACCGTTGTGCTCAGGGGGGTGGAAGCCTCGGCACCAGCTGAAGAAAAGAATCATTTTCTTCTACTTGCCTCTTATTAAAAAAAAGAAGAAAATAATAATAATAAAAAAAGAGCTTTGCTTATTTGTTCGATGTCGGAGGAATTCTCCGAGACCCCCCATCAGGACCGAAATATTCCCCTGCGTTATTCGGAAACAAAGGCAGGGCTTGAAATATTTCAGCTAAGAGTGCGCGTTCGTGCCTTGTCCCTCTGGCTGCAGCCGAGTCACCGCGCGGCCACCTCGCAAATAAAGTGTCCCCAAAAGTCCCCTCCGAACAAAGGGCCGCTGGATTTTCCTTCGTGGTGACATTTTAGCACTTAAAAATAATATTAATGCGATCGCGTGGCGCGCGTGACACCCGCTGATATAAAAGAAAATGGATTTACGGCCGGATTTTTTGTGAACTCTCGCGTTTTTAGAGGCAGCAACTGCAAACCTTTAAAGTTTCTTTTTTTTTATTTATTTTGGTTTTTTTTTCCTTTTTCCGGGGAGGGCGGCGAGGGCTGTATTTTATTGCGGTGCCTGAAGGTTGGGGCGTTTTGTTGTTGTTGTTGCATTTTATTTTGCTATTTCTCTCTTTGATCTGCTGAGAGGTTGTAAAGGGGGTGTTATTTTCAGGATAGGCCTTCTAAGAATGGCAAAAAATGGTTGTTTAAAAAAAAAAAGGCATATGCTTCCAGGAATGCGGGGTCTATAGAAGCAAATCAAAGCTGGAAAGTATGAATAGAATAGAAGGGGGAGAAAAGAAGATTTCTATAGGACCTAAAAGTTCACAGCCATTATAAGCAGACAGAAGCCAAGAAAAATGCGAGAATTATACAGAAAATCATTAATCACTTCTTTTCTTTAAATACTTATCCTTTTCCCATTGTTATTCAACAGCAAATCTCCGCAGACCGTCTGTTGGGAAAAAAGCACCCGGAGCCCTCCAAGAATCTTCAGGGGGAAATAATAATATTAATAATAAAATCTGGATCGTAAAGGTGAAAGTTTTATTTTTGGGGGAGAAAAAAAACCCAAAAATCAAACGGGTCCCCCCCCCGCCCCGAGCCGCCCCCTCCCCCCAGACCTCTCACTTTTGGAAGAAAAGCACCCAAACCATGAGGGCCGTCTCTGGGGCGCTGGAAAAAGGATGTGGGAGCGAACCAGGTAACGGAGCTGCTCTCTTGGCATGCATTTCGGATCGGTTTATTGCCTCCTTTCACCAGAAATCTGGGGCGAAAGAGAAAGGGGGGAAAAAAAAAAGGAGCTAAAAAGGAAAAAAAAAAAGGGGGGGGAGGGGGGCGCAGAAAAAGGAAAAAAAAAAACCGGGAATTCTCGTGCGGGGTTTTCCTTCTGTCTCCTGGTTTTATTTTGACCGATGCGAGCGAGGGGGAGCGGGCAGGGAAAGTTTGCAGGCGGGTTACTTGTGCTGATAGTTTTTGGGGGTTTTTTTCCCCCTCCTGGATTTGGGGTTTGGGAGCGTTTGGGGCTCGGCCCTGCTGGGCTTTGCTGCGGGACCCCCGGCCAGGCTGCTGCGGGTGTTTGGGGGTGTTTCTCTCTCCTTTGTTCATTGTTTTAAGTCTTTTTCTTTTTCCTTTTTTTTTTTCTTTCCTGAGGAAAATCTCGCCCGGGGTGTTTAGGGCAGAGTGTCCCCGAGGGGTGCGGGTGTCCCGGGTTAAGGACGTCCCAGAGGCGGCGAATATCCCGGGTTAAGGCCGTGCCTTTGTCCCGGGATATCCTGGAAGCGCTGCTGCTGCTCCCGGGGTTTGGCCGCCCCGAATCCCGGGAGCGCGGCGGGGATACGATGGGAAGGGGTGAAAATTGGGGAGACAAAACCCAGCGCTGGCAAGCCCCGGCTCGGGGGAGAGAGTTCACGCAGAGGACACGTTTTCTAGGCGATTAGCTGGGTATTATAGCCGGGGACTGACCTCGCAAACCCCTTGACCTCTCCGAGGCTGGACATTGTGCTGGGCGACAGCTCAGCCCCCAGTTCAGCAAAACTTTGCGTGTGCGGGGTCCCGGCCCCAAAAAACCCAGGGTTTGAGCCGTGGAATCGGGGAAACAGGCCCGGGAGAAAAACCCTGGGGGACTAAAGGACTTAGAAATGGGTTTATTTCTGCTTTCTCGCTGTTTATGGTCCCGTCCCCGAGCCCGCGCCCCACAAACCGCTTCCCTTCTCCTCTCGCTGCGAAATCCCTCGGTGTTTGCGGCTCGCTCTGCTTTGGGAGAGGGAAAAGGGGCAGGAGAGAGGGCGGTGGGCGCTTCGCGGAGAGGCCGGGCTGCTCTTGCCTTCCCAAAAATAATTCGAGGGGGAAAAAAAAAACCCCAACCCCGAGCGGCGAGCGGAGGAGCGAAGCCGCGGCCTGGCCGCGTCCGTCGCCTCATCTCTCCTCTCATTTTCAGAAATTCCTTTGTTTCCGAGAGTCCCCTCTCCGACCCCCCCTCCCCGCCTTTCTCTGTCCCCCGTCCCCCCCCCGCACCTCCTCCCGCTTCTCCCCTGCCCAGGGCGCTCTCAAAAGCTCCTCTGTGCCCGCGGAGCAGCGCGGAGAGGGCGCGGAGAGGGCGCGGAGAGGGCGCGGAGGATCCCACCGGGCCCGGGGAATCCCGGGAAGCCTCTTCCCGGCACCCCCGAGCCGCGACCCCCCCATCCCAAACCCCTCGAACACCGGCCGTGGTCGAGCCGCCCGTGCCCTTTGTTACCTCCAGATCCCCAAATTTGATTTAAAATCTGAGTTTTTAGGTGAGAAAAACCGCGCAGCCCAACCCCGCTGGGGCGGAGGTGACAGAGAGCGGGGGTAGAGAGGAAGGGAAAATAAATAAATATATATTTATATATGTGAATCCATGGATATAAGAGGGGTTCTGCCTGGGAAGGGGGGTCTTGGGAGAAGCGGGGGGGTGGGATTGGCGCTGGCCCGGTGTGGCACCGACTCTCTTTAAAGGCCGCTCAGCTCTGGGAGCGGCTCGGGAGTTTCTCAGCCCCGGTGACAGATTTATGATCCGCAATAAGAACGGCGTGTTTAAATCTGTAAATCAATCTCGCTTTCTCACTGTATAAACGTTCATTTTATCTTCAGAAAGAGAACGGCTTTGATCACGGCACCTCGGAGGGCGAGGCCGCTGTTTATGGCCGCGTTTCCGACCCTTTGAACCGGGGGCTTTAAAAAAAAAAAAAAAAGAAAATCGCCAAACCCGAAATGGTGCTTCTTTTGCATGAAACAAACCCAAAAATGCCAGCGGAGGCGGAGGGGGAGTATCTGCTCCGTTTGCTGCCTTGGGATGGCTCTGTTCCATTTTTTTTCCCCCGTGTCCCTTTTTTTCCTCCCTCTTCTTTTTTAAATTTATTTACCGGGCTCCATTCACAGGGATGCACTTTTTATGACAGAAAAAAAAAAAAAAGGGAAAAAAAAAGGAGTTGTTTTATGAAGCGAATTGACCTGAAGTCCTCATAAAAGCCCCCCCCCCCCATCCTCCCCGAAGTTTCCTCCCTCGTGGAAATTCCCCCCCAGCCACGGGAACTCCTTTTAATCGCATTTTTTTTTCCCCCTCGCTTCCTCCCACACCTTGACCAAACGTCTTTCTTCCGACAACTCCTCGCACTCGATAAAATCGATTCCGAAATAATCGAGGGCTTTGGAGAACGAGGCGCTTCCCCCGCTCACTCCTTCCCGGCCGGGGGGGGGCCCAGCCCACCTCGCCCAGCCCCTCGGGTTCGACTTTTAGAGGGAAACACCCCCCCGTTTTTAAGCTCTTTAAATTCATTTTTGCCTTTAATATAAGCTCCCTCCAGGCTTTACCCCTGCAGGGAGGGCTCTCTGCTCCCGGGGGGGCGAGGGGAGCTGGGAAGGGCTGGGAGATGCTCCTGGCTGGGCTG